AAAAAAAAAAAAAAAAATAAGAAAATTAAAAAAAACCTCTTTCATAATAGCATGGGGGATTTGCACGAAGAAAGGAGCGCCAATTTTGGAGGCCGAATGTAAGCACAGCTGTCCATCGCAATTCTTCGGTGAGTATGCGATGACGATCGAGGAATTCAGCTTACCATCAAACAAATACTAAAAAATATGCATATTAATTTTCACAAACAATAACTGCATTTTTCGACGAAATCGCTGTGAAAAGAGTGCCCAAAAGAACTCACGTCTCGCGACGTTAACTTGATAAAATTCCTTCAATAATTGTTTTTAATCTAATTAAAATATTAGCCAACACACGTCTGCGGTGCGAAGATGCGTTTCTTGCATAATTCCCTGCAGTTTTTGTCACTACCGGCACCTGTTTTTCCGGCAAATGCTTCTAGCTAAAAGAATTGGGATTGACCGTCAGGACTGTCAGAAAGCATCCATTTAAAATTTCAGTTTTCTAGCTTCACAGGTTCCCGAATTAGAAACTTACCCGAAAAAAACTTTGGTGGGCCCGTGCATCGGTAACACGCAAACCCGAGGGCTGGGTTTGAAATCATTATACCTACTTGCAAGAGGAATACCCCTTTAAAATTCCAGTTCTCTAGCTTTTCAGTTTCTCGAGTTAGCAAAATTACCCGAGAAAAATTTTGACGGGCCGTACGTGAGTACCACGTATACCCGGGGACTGGTTTAAAACTCATTAAAACTTACGTTGACAGGAACATCAGCCTGCGATTTCAGCTTTTTAGTTTTTCTGGTTCCCGAGTTAATGCCTTACTCGCGAAAAACATTCGTGGGCCCGTGCGTGAGTACCACGCGAGTAAGACTGCCCATTTTGGGGATGTGGGCCCGTACTTGCATGAAGATTAAGTTCTCAAAGTTTCAGCCCCGTAGCTTTTGTAGGTCTCGAAATGAAAAACCGGTACAGAGGCCTAGCACACACACAGACACACAGACACACACGCACGCACACACATACATACACACACATAGATAACCCCGTGACAATACGCATTTTGTACTGCTGTTACACAGCATAAAACGCATAAAAATTATGCCTAATTACTAAAAAAGAGAAACAGTCTCCTTTTCAGTGAAAAAAGCAACAACCTTTTTTAAATCATCGGACAGGACAGCTTCAGCCTCGTGCCGAAAACAGCTTTGATAAGACGGACCCAAGCAATACAGAGCATTGGCTTGTGAGGCAGTTATCGATTCCGCAAACACATACAAAGCAGCAGCTTTGCCACAAAATGGTTCCTCGCCATCCGGGCCACAACCAATGCTACACTTGTCAAAGTGATCCGTTGTCGAAACCAGCCTTAAAAACGCCCATAAAATCACTCAAAATTTAACACAGAACAATGCCCTGTAGAAAAGTTCGGCTCTACATGACCTCACAAAAATTCACTGGCAAAGCGGAGAAAACAGGCTATCGACGATACTAACAGTAAAAACACAATAGCTTAGAAGGAGTAAAGAAATAAGAACAAGAGAGATACCAAGGCACGTCGAAGGATTCAATCATTTGGCCATCAACGAAGCACTGGATCTCACTTTTGGACCAACGAGAATACACATGCGATATTGCCACATGATGCCACCTAAATCCAACAAGCAAAATGCAAAAAAGTTCCGACTCCCCATGCAAAATTTCGGCGAAAAATTGCCTGGATGTGTTGGTAAAAGAGGATCATCCATCAATTTTTCTTATTTTTTTCTCTTTTTTTAATGCATTTTGTGCTGTGTAGCAGCAGCATAAAACGCATATTGTCACACGTTGTCTGTGTGTGTGTGTCCGCAGCAACTTGTCCGCAAATTTAACAACTCGGGAACCACAAAAGCTAGGAAATTTCCCGCACCTATGTGTGATCTCACAAATTTAAATTCAGCCTTCCCGTACCACGGGTAACACGTACGGCCCTGTAAAAGTTTTGGCAGAGAAAATTATTTCCGAAAAATTACTTCTACGAAAGCTTGGAAGCTAAAATTTTGTGGGTGTGTCCGCTGCCCACGTGCGACCCAGAAAATTTAAATTCAGCCTTTTCGTGCCTGTAATTAACACACACGGTCGCATAAAAGTTTTGGGGTAAGGGGAATTATTATCTTTGGAATCAAGGAAACCATCGACAGCCATAGAGTATACGACTGCTGTTGGCATTTGCTATTGTCGGGACTACTTTCAACTGACATTGCCTCTTACACAAAGTGAATTCATGCTACGGAGGAAGTTTTACACTGCATTCTCTCATTATTTCAACTTACTATTCCAACAATTTCATATTATTTCAGCTATATCATATAAATTTAATTGCATTTTCTTAAATATTAACGTTGCTACTGTACAAATGAGGAAAACGCTCAGCAGTAAATGCATGCAAACAAATGGATCCTTACCGGTCAAAAATTCATGATCAACTTTTCTCAAGTCATATTAACACATACATTAAGCAATGATTAACAAAATCTGGAAAATATGGAAAAATGCGAACTTTCTCGGTGTTAATTCATATCGTATGCATCGAGCAATTTCCTTTCCCACAGCTTTCACGCAACAAACAACCAAACAGTTGCCCATAATATAGCAGCTGTAGCCAGCTCCTTTGCTTGTTCGAAAGCTACAATCAATCGCAAATTAACACCAGCGCACTTGAAGAGGTTTCAGTTATAATTAAAAAAAAATATAATACCAGTAGATGTATGGGCGTTCCTTTTCAAAATTTACACTGTTTAGAGGATCCATTTTCAGCCATGTGCAAAAACTCCAGCCGTTCTGGTAAGGCCACTTCGTCAACGGAGGCAAAGCAATACCCTGCAATTTGAATGCTATACTGATAGAGAATGCGACTACAGTGTGTCACATTTTATATTTGTATAACGAAAATTAAAGTAATGCAAATGCGTTCCTTGAAATGCAGGAATCGGGATTAAACAATCTGCGCGAGCTAAGTCGCAGTGTTCGAAGAAAGCAAAAAAAAAAAAAAAAAAAAAAAAA